GCTTTAGATTCGTGCACCCTCTTCGCTTTCTCACTTGTCGAAGATTGCCACGTCCTTTGCATCATGGCAACAAAATATGGAAGGGAGTTGGTGGCTTATAGGAACAGATTTGCTGGCCACGCAATGGGGCGAAAATGCCCAAACAAATACGGGTCTACAGCACGGGGCACACATCACTATGAGCTTTTTAATCTCAAACATGGGGCACGCCATACATGTTATCCACGAAAGGATCCGTTGTTATCAAATCCCGGCTCACAATGTCCAACCGGCGGCAAGTTTAAATTCAGCCTGGCTTTTCTTCAAGGCACGGTGATCCACAGGGGCACCACTCGACGCCTGTGATGCGCAAGTGTGGAGGATCGATCTTTAGCAGGAAGTGGCCTTCGCACGTGCACGTGCCAACTCTGTCCCAATTGAAATTTGGATCAGCCACGGTTGCGAATATGCTCCCCAACATTGAAGCAAAATGCATGTAGACCGACAACATTGGGTGTCTCCTGTATATAACTCACCTAGATTGTGGCCAAGTCTAGCCTACAATGGCTTGCTTTGGTGTAATGATGTGGCCGTGCAGTCAGGCAACGATGTGATTCATGCTCCCTGTGTATTAATGTTATACATAGAAGCCCTGCTGACAGCGTAGTGGCATCAACCCGTATGGGAAAAAGTTCTGCGGCCCTGAGGCCGCAGTATGAGATCCATGTTCTTTCACTTTGATGATTTCAAATCATTGGCGTTGGCCCACTTGCATGTCTCCCGGATTCGCGTGGCCAACTGCACTTCATTGTCTGGCAAATTGTTGGCAGAGTGAACGCACAGTCGTGTTATCATTGTGCTGGACTACTGACTACTTCAATCTACTTCACATTTTTTAGTTGCGTATATATCTTTTTACATTTGAGCAGTTAGGGCACAGGGGCGAAACCTACAACCAACAAAACCAAAACACCACCAACCAATCGTGAAACAACATGCGACGGCTATCATGCTACCGAACCGCCAAAAATCACAACCACAACCCCTACACCAGCCTGACGTGCGCCCAAAGTAACTTTACTGCGCCGCCTCACCAGGCCATCGTGCCCCACTTCCAAAGCTCCACACCACCATGACGTATAGAGACCGCACCTGAAAACCAAAATCACCGTGCCCATACACCGCACCATCGTATCGTACCGAAAAAACACCGCACCACCGTATCGCACCTCATACCGTGCCACGTATACTTAATGGTCCCTTTTTACTTGTTTATTCGTAACCGACGCATAAATAGGACTATAAGTAGAAATACGTAGCTTACGTATAATTTCTGCTTGACCTACGTACAAGTTACTTGAAGTTGAAGTTACTTAGAGGATCTTATAGGTAAGTTGGCCTACTTGCTCAGTAGAAATAAGTAGCAAGAACACAATTAAGTACATATCCATGTAAGTAGGCTAAGTATACTTATATCTACTTAGTTCTACTTACGTGCTACTTATTTCTACTTAACCTACTTATGATCAAACTGTGTGTTTAACTGTAATTTTACTTTTCTTGTTTTTTGTTTTGTTGCTTTTTTTGACATTTTGCGAGTTTATGTATTCGATTGAAAATTATATTTTTGTAAATCTATTTGTTTATTCATATTTCTCTTGCTTTTTCAATGTATTTTTTTCAGTTGTCATGGTCTTGATAACGGTCCCCGCTAAAAACTTTTCTTGGGTGAACTTCTTGAGCGGCGTGCGTGCTTTGATTTTTTGGAAGCGATGTGTCCGCTGCCTGTTTCTTTGTAAGCGGTGTGTCCGCTGGAATCCCAAGGAGAAAAAAAAGAGGTGCATCTTGATTCATGATGCATGTTTGCCGTTTTTCGTTGTCGTGGCGTCGTGGTGCAAACTCTTTTGGGCATCATTTTCCCGCGTATCTCACGGGTATCTATCGGATATCTATAGGGTATCTATACGGTATCTATACGTTTTACAGCCCAAAAGGTATCCGGGAATCTATAGGTATGTACAGGCATCTATACAAACCCATGAAAATCTGGATAAATTGGTTCCGGGTATCTATGGGTATCTATAGGTATCCATCACGATGCACACCATTATACATGGATACTTTTGGGTATCTATCAGGGGCCCGCAGAACCAAAGCACAGCGCAGGGCGCCATTTCATTTTCAATCATTTTGCCACCCAGAGGAATCTGGTCTCGAAGGCTTGACAAGCACGTATAGCTTCAACGGTGCTTTCTGGTCCAGCATGTCTGCCCAACCCAGGCAGACAGAGGGTGTGACCGCTGTGGCTAGTTGATGTTGCAGCGGTGTGTCCGCTCTTGTTTACTGTTGCTAGTTGATGTTGAAGCGGTGTGTCCTCTCTTGTTTACCAAAAAACGCATGTTTTGCAATCAATTTTGAAGAAAAATCAAAAACAATAACTTTCTTACAACAAACAAAATCGAAATAAACTAAAGAAAGACATGTTTTTTTCGCTACCATACCTAAAGTATCAAAAACAACTCCTTTCAAGGCTGTTCTACTTATTTCTACAAATTTGTACTTATAAGCTACTTACAACCTACTTATTTCTACTTATCATTAATAAGGATTTTAAATAGGCGCAAACTGGATCATAAGTGGACCTTAAGTAGCTTAAGCAGCGGTAAGTCACTTAAAAGTAGACAACAAGGAAAGAACCATGTCGTAACCGTACCGTACTACCACATGTACCACCGTACCGTACCACCGTACCACCGTACCGTACCACCGTACCGTACCTCAAAACCACCGCACCACCGTACCGTACCACCGTACCGTACCACCGTACCGTACCTCAAAACCACCGCACCACCGTACCGTACCACCGTACCGTACCCCGCACAACACCGCACCGTACCTTACGTTCAGGCACCTGCCCGGGTACCCTCCCACAGCACTTTTGAAACAACATAAGCTCTATCATTCCAAAAGATTCCAAAAGATTCCAAAAGCACAAGTTGTCCTCATTCTGCCGCAGCCAGCGTCTTACAGTGGAGACCTGCAACAAGCTTCAGCAAGCTGTCATCAGAATCCCATCCCTTGCCCTCAATGGCCTCAGAGGCCTTGAAGCAAATGATGATGGCCCGGCCACCCAACTCCAGCAGCTGAAATGCTGCGGACAGGAGCTTCTCCAGCCTCAAATTCCCCGGACCCAAGGAAACAAGACCATCAAGACCAGTGTATGCGGTACCTATCGGTGCGCGTTGATGCCAAAAAAAGCGTGCGCAATTGGATGATGAGGGCCCATTGGTGGAATGATATATATATATATATACGTACTTTGATTCTGCAGGAAGCGTAGGAAGCACAACACATACAACACCTATCATCTGGGCTTTGCAGCCCAGGACATCATCCCCATACTGCACAGCAGTACCTAATTGATGGGTTTCGGTAATGCTTCCAACCATGGCTCCGGACTGTTGCAGTTCCTGGTTCAAGTGTAAACGAATGGCCTCCAGGTCGAGTTGCTGCCCAATCTCTGGACAAAACTGCATAGAAACGCATACCTTCCAAAAAATCAAGAAAGACCCCTCTAAAGTGGCATTTATTTCCATATATTTCCATAAATACCCGATAAGTAGACCATATCTATGGGGATCCAAAGAAAATCAACAAAGACGGCCTGGAACGTCAGCCTCGCCGGCTGTTGAAATGGGTTGCTGCCCAAGGTCTGTTCCTTCACCTCTGCTACGACCTAGGCGAAACCATTGCCATAAATGAAGGTTTTTAGTGGGACCATCATATTGAAATGGGAAATCATTGGAAAACATTGGGATCTCATTGGAATAACATTGGAATATCATTGGAAAATCATCACAAACATGGCAGTTCGATACAAATTTCCTTCAGTTTGAAGATCAACCACCTACCGTCCTTCCCCCCAACAGCCCCACCTCCGCCAACTCTTTGGTTCGATGGAAGGGTCGCTTTGCGCAAATGGCCTGCGAGCGAGAACCACTGAACCAAGCTGCCAACACATCCTTCAAACATTCAAACCAAACAAAATGATAGTGGAAGGTCCACTATATGCAGCATGCGGTATATGCGGCTTTAGTCTGAAACCCTGATTCTGAAACGTAGCGTTTTTCTTTCGATATCTATGGCGTATCAGCACATCCATATCAGCACCAGCCTCTGCCAGGCGCGCTGCCAAGAAGGCATCTCGATCCTGGATACCCCAAAATATGGCTCCAACTGTTGGTACACTCATGGTGAGTCCCTCCATTTTGGGAAGCTGGAATGACCCCAGCTATGGCCCTTGATGGCCGATGTTTCTACCAGCTGTCCAAAAAGCTCCTCTCCATAGGTATGGATCACCCATGCGAGTTCCTCTGGGCTCCTCAGCACAGAAACTTTGAATATCAAGCATCTGCAGGTGCAGAGTTCACAAGATTCCAGACTGAAAAGGTTGCAGTCAAATGTTTTTTTTCAATATGTTAGTTTTTCGATTAAGCCTGACCTGCAAAATAATTGTGAATCCTGACAAAAAAAAATCCCAGCAAACACGGATGTGTTTCAAACTCCTCTGGTCCATCGCTAGCAGTGGAGTTGCCAAGTCCAGGCATCCACACACTGTGTCCAACCATTCAGACGCGGGGATTCCGACATCTGGATTCCTTGGGGCCAAAAGAAGTGTGTTGATTCAAGATGGGTTCCTGCAAATTGGCGAAGGCCAATCATCAATGGACAGACTGGGGAACTGAAAGTACTTTTGATATCTGTTGATAGGGACTCCCTAGAAACATGACCTGATTTTGACTTGGGAAGATTCCAACAAGCTGCTTGAAGGTTGTTTACATTGTTTCATCTTGAGTGCAAGCCCAAGACTAAACAGGACTTTACAAGATGCAAAGAGTTCCAAAGCATCTCAACAGATGCTGCCAAGCGGCATGCGCATATCCAAAGGCCCGTCCTAGGCAGGGCGGTTCTGATGCCGTGCGCAGCCTGATGCGTTGATTCAGTTTATGTCTCGGTCCTCAATGGGTGAGAATCCACGGTGCTTCTGGTCCTCGGAGTCGCTTTTTGAGAAATCGCCAGCTGAAACGATCACCAGCTGTTCCATGCTGTTCCTATTCTGGGCGCCCCAACCAATTGGGGGGATGAAACCCCGAGATCCGCAAGAAGCCCATGGAGACGGGTGCCAGGAGGAAGCGCCTCCATGAGTGGATTCCCTACAATGCCTACAATTTCCAAATGGCCACTGGTATCTTAACGTAGTTCTAGAAGCGCAGCATCTTTAATATCTTTAAGTAAATCATCTACAAGGCCATCTTCCACACTTCTGTTTACTGTAATCACCCAGCTCAAATCATCATCGCCCAGCCATAGATTGGGTTTCATGCCCCACCTCTTGAAGATCTCCAAATGCTGCATGCCTTTGCGGAGACAGTACAGTATGATGTCTGTATTTATCTGAAATGTATTTGTGTATGGTTGCACAACAAAAAGGATACTCACAGGCACACAAGCAATCAATCAATCAATTGCCCTTCCGCCCAGAAGGATAACCAGAGTCCATGCATTGAATCGGTTGCATGACATTGATTGTCACATGATGGAGTTCTGGATGACACTTTGACTTTGCGCAACTTCGGTCGAATTGTAAAATCATCATGTTCGTCACGTTTACAATCTCCAGCGCCAACAATCCATCTGACAAGTGTAGCCGAATTCTGAATCGAATTGATCTTGGCAAGTTCACCCTACGTTTTGGCCCGGAGGAAACTTAACTTTGGAAAACCTTAAACGATCAAACGATCATCCCCCGACCTCCCTTTCCCAAGATTATCCAGCTGTGCGGCACAGGAACCAGCCGTGGCTCTTGCGAGGCTAGTCGCTTTGCCTCCGCCAGTGATCCCTCTGAATGACTTCTCAATACCGAAAGCAAACTGTGAAGTACATCAACTGATTCTTATATCTATGAAAATATAATAGTAATAAATTGTAGATCTATGAAGTGTAAATGGTTATAGCTTAATAGCTAGTCAGTCGCCATATGGTGAAGTACAGTCAAAAAAAACAAGTTACACAACCACATTCCCACAGCGCCCAGAAACCACCACCGAAATGCCACAGATCAGGCTGCTGCATTGGGCCGACCTCCGAAATGGCCGTAGGGTCCACATCAAGGGCAAAGACCTTGGCATGGTCTCAGCCAAATGGCCCAAGCATTGAAGGGGTTACTACTTGCTACTCTACTTAAAGCGACCAGGAAAATGGAAACCCCGGAAATCTGACCTTGATTCAGCTGATCTTGAAGGGAATTGCGGGCTTGTGAATCGATTTCTGACGTAAGTGTCCTTTCTTCAATAGCACACATTACCGTGGTGATGTCTTCACATCAGGAAGCAGGCAAACGCTCTGTTTCCCACGAATCGGAATGAGTGAAATGAGTCTTTCTGAAGATGGGGCATACCCCAATCATTGCCATGTCATGGGGAAACCATGGGAAACCATGGGGAAAGCTATGATAAGGCACTGGATTTTGGGGTACCCAGGACTAGGTGCGCGACAGTGGCCCCTGGCACTTCCAGCAGTCTCCTGTGCAGGCCACACCATCCCGAGATACTCGACATAGCAAGGCTGTCATCAACTTCGCTACGGTATCCTGATATCACTGATATCCTCTACATGCAACGGAAGAAAACAAAAAAACAGGTGTCAAACGGGTCAAGTGAACAAGGTTCCATTCATCATTCATCTAATGATCCAATGCCGCCGCTGCTTGGCAGGTCGCCTGGTGTGGCCTCCCCGGCCAAAGGTGGCATCCACCAGGACAGGTGAGGCCGCGCTTAGCTGCAAAGCCTCCACAGAGGCTGAGGCTGAGCGTTGAAAGATGTTGGAAGGCAGTTTCACAGCTTCACATCGCATCCATCCCGGTACATGCGCGGAGGATTGGAAGATAGCTACAGATTGACACTTTTGCAAGCTTTGCATCAGTTTCAGTGGTGAATTTTCTCTGGCCGCGTCAGTTTCTCCACACCTCAACCACCTCATCACACAGGATTGGCCGATGACCATACACCCTGCAAGCTGTGCAAGCAGTCTATACCAAGAAGTTCGAGCTCCTTTGAACCTAGTGGTACTGAATGATACTAAGGCATCTGCTAAACTTTAGATCGAACAGAACAGAAATCCTACATATAATGACATGAAAAGCAGTCTGTGATGGTCAGTGTGTCATATCCAGCTTACATGACAAAGGTGTTATTGTCATTTCCGAGTACCAATCCGCACCAACCTCGCCTGCCATCAAGCTCGGCTCTGTCTGCCATCAGCGCCCCTTTGGATGGCAAAGGCGATCTTTCCTGCAAACAATCATTGTGGGAAAAAAAGGAAAGGATCCAATCCACATGTAGAAATGCTTCACTTTCCTACGTCCCTTCTCAAATTGAGCGCCATTTTTGGGGCCGTTTTTTTCAGCTGTCAGAATGATGCGCGTTGGCTCCTGCGTCTGGTCCGGCTTCAGTAACTCTGACACTGCAGCTGAGACATCTGGCGACAGAGCTGCCCGGGGTCAAGGTCTCTTGTGCAAAGCTCTGGCTATGGGTCAAGCCATTGAGTAGACAAAACTTTGATGCTTATATCAATATTACATATACACTAATATATATATATATATTATACATATATATATTGTATTATATATTCTATATTATATACTATATATCATATATCATATATTATATCATATATATTATATTATATATTATATATTATATATTCAATATTATATATTATATATTATATATTATATATTCTATATTATATATTATATATTATATATTATGTATTATATATTATATATTATATATTATATATTATATATTATATATTTTATACTATA